CACGACGCTTCGTCTCCATATTTTCTTTTGTAGTGAATAGTAAGATAGTAAGATGAAAGTTGAAATGCAATTTGAAAATACACGGCACCTATCGTGTAACTCACTAACGAAGCACGCCAAATCAAATAAGTTATTCATGAAACTGTCGATATTTAAATTAATATGTCAAATATCGATACATTCCTGGGATTGTATTATATTCGTTTATTCGTTCGTTTCTTCTTCTTCCTCTTTACCTTCAATTGTTCATCGTATATGAAAAATAACGATTTTAGAGGCGAATTTTAGAATATCGCTTAAGTGCGCCTTGCTTTAACACATTAAGGTGCTGCAATTTATCTCGAGTACAATGGGTTTAATATAGCGCTTAAGTGTATTGCCCAAGCAGTTAAAAAAGCAAAGCTAAACGCGAGTTTCAATATAAAACCGATAGCTCAGAACTGTATATTAAATGTTACTCTGCTCATAGTAAATTTTAAAGCCTAAGTGACATAATTCCGAGAATGTGCGCTCGTGATGCATTATTCAACGTAACAGCGTCGAGTAACACACCTTAGTAAAACGTAAAACACACCTCTAAATATAAAATGACAGAGTCACGTGGAAGAGAACGAGGGATGGTTGTGGGCACGGGAGGGGATGGGTTAAAGGGGGAGAGATGGACCGAGGGGTCGTGGTGGTGGGTGGGAAGTGGGAAGTGGGAGGTGGGATGGTGAGTAAGGAGGGTGGGGGGTTATGCAGGAAGCCTTAAGACTCCGATTTCGCAACTCTTAAGTAATTTGCCATGGAAACGTTTCAGGTGAAACTATTGGGGCTGCTGCTATCGGCGGCTGCGATCGGAACAGATGCCTCACCGCTCGCCCGCATCCATGTGAAATTCGTTCAGCCGCCGCACATCCAGGAGCACGGAATAACGACCGATGGTGAACCGTTAATTAGTGACTAAGCTTGCTTTTCCTGATTCAATTTTACCTCCTTATTCTCGATTACCGATGACCAAACAAAAGAGTGAATTCTAAGTTTGTTATTAAGTGAGACTGCGATTAAAGCTTACTCTTAAATAATTCGTTACGAGTGCATGAGATGCTGCTGTTGAAAGAATTTCGCTCTTAAAGATGATTATTATAGATATTAGAGTAAAATCGTAATTTCAGTCAGTACTGAAATTTTCAATATTTTAACAAACAATAGCCTTTCGCTCTAATTGATTTATTTATGAGTAACAACAATGCTGTCTCATTACTGCTTGTAATATCGGTAAATACAGCCAATCGTTAAAAGTCATAAGTGAAAATATTATATTGTTAAATTTAAAGTATTATTTGAAATTTCGCTTTCTTCTTTAGGAGAACGAATAATTGCTCAACAGTCGTATATTTCGGTCGGAAGAAGAAATCCACCAATAAATTATATATCAGGTAAGAGATGTTTTCAAAAATATCTTAGTAATGGATAAAGAGGTTGACATTTTAATGTTAATAGCAAATCCTCGTTTATGTTCAATAATAATAACTACAAGATTTGTGTTAAAAAAATTTGTTACAATCTTAAAAACTAGATTTTTATCTCTTTGTACATATATGATTTACTGCTTGTGCAAAGATACGGTGATAATGCAAGAAAAAGAAAATTATACTTTGCGATAAAATATGAATAAAAAATTGAAGAAAAAAACGTAGTACCGTAGTGATATTGCCCATCCTAATAATATAAATTTTCAGATCTTAAATTATTTGAATTTGGTAACATATTGCCGATTTGATTTCACTCATTAAAAAGAATTCTAACAATTTATGAATAATCACAAGCTTAAATGATAATTATAATTTTAAATATATAAAATATAGTGAGAATAATAGCAGAAAATAAATACACACAGTTGTCTTGCTTTTAATGGATTGCTACTATTTCTTACGTTATTAAAATTCACTCGTTATTTTCACAATATTCTCGAAATGTGTTTAATCTATTGTTTTGCAGCAACTCCATTCAGTAACATACAATATTATCCACAATTGGTATCCAATCCTTACTACCTTCCACGGAGAACAGTTTACATACCCATTGGGCAAAACGGTATCAATTACGGAATCCAAGATTATGCCCATCAGACGCCTGATTATTCAAACGGACTTGGTAATTTTTTAATGAAAAAAAAAAGCATATCTTTTATACGAGAAAATTTAACTGAAAACACTAAAATTTCATTAATTTTAAGCTTATTACTGCTGCGATAAGCGAACAAGTATTTTAAGAATTAAATGTCGTGCATCTACCAGTCAATGCAAAATGTAACCCATCATTTTACAACAGCAATTCTTTTTATATTTATTTCTGATTTCATATGTTATATCTCATTAAAAATAATTAATAAATAAATAAATAAATAAATAAATAAATAATACATTTAAATTTACACAGATACAGATGGAATGGTAATTTGACTGTTTAGAGCCGAACCTGCTTGTTTGTTATATATCGCTTTTAGCGGATAAATCATAATTAATACATAATATTGCTGGTAAATACGAAATTGAATAGTAGAGTCTTGACTTCCCTTAGATTATCCGGACCCGTTGCTACTAAGGGGCGAAGCAGCCACATTGGCAGTGAAGTACATCTACGGCCGCGGCGAGCTCTTTTTCCACGAAATTCCCCATGTGCGCGCGATCCTGAGGAACCAGGAGGAGAGACGACGTAATGGCCTCAATGGCAATGTGCTCAGCAGCCTCAGACCAGAGTCGCCCTGGTATCGAAAAAATCTTTAGCCATTCCTACGGTGTCCGTGACTGACATATTTCGATGATTATTTAGCGGTAGATTCTACGCGAGGATCATATGTCGGATGAATTTGTGCCAGATTTTCAGATTAGCTTAGCAAGCTTTTTTATGGTATTGATGTGTGGTATTCTAGACGAGATTTTAGGCCTCGATGCCCAACAAATCGCGGCAGATTATTTAATAATTTCTTAATAATTCTTCAAAATACTCCAAGTATTTTCTATATTTATTACATATGTATGTATTGTCCAAGACATTTCGTTTAAAGAATATGTGTGGTAATAAAATCATAATATCTCTTCATTTGACGCTGTAACTAATTTTGTATCCGATATTGTTGACAATTTCAGATTTTTAAAAAAATGTTTATAATTTTTCGATTAACGTTCGTTATAAATTGTTAATTTATACATTTTTTAAGGCGTTAAGTAGTGCGTTTTTTCTTTGGAAATTTGCAATTTTCAAAAAATGCTAATCTAGTATAAAAAAAGTATAAAAACAAGATATTATTCTTCATTGATAGTGAAAACTCTTGCCCCTTGTTATTCACTTGCAAATGTTTTTCCAATGAATTATCTAGGCTTGTTTAAGAAGTTTTAATACAATGTAAGCAAGGAAAACCATCGTATTAAAAGTAAGAAACAATATTGATAGTGAATGTTGCTACTGACTTATTGATATACAGTTTTTATTATGTTACAATATAATATAATTATTTACATAAATTATCTAAAATAAAATTAATTTTCAAATACTCTTGAATGTTGTAGTGAGTTAAAACCATATATAGATGTAAGACATTTATTAGTCACCTGATAAAATCAATGAAATTTAAAGTTTATTATACATACTGTACTAACATTTTTCTTTATCAAAAATTCTAATGATAACTTTAACTTTATTTGTAATTGGATTTTCATTTTTTTGCGTCCGTAAAATTTTAGTTTATAACTAAAATATAAAACAGCTTTCTTCGCACGATCGTGAAAAAAATTTTTATAAAATTTTTATCACCTATATGGCCACGAGTTTATTGTGCGTAAATTATAAATCATTTAAAGAATTTTCTAATATTTTTATTGCGAAAATTTTACTTCTGATAGGCCTTATTATCCCCACACGAATTCAATTATTCTTGATATCCGTAATATATTAGTCAATATAACCAGAAGCTCATAATTATGACAATTAGCTCCAATTATATCTATATATTGATATCATAAATATGAATTTAATATATGGCGCAAAAGTGAAATTTATAAAAAAAAAAAAAAAAAAAAAAAAAAAAATTACCCGTAGGTACTTATTCAAAAAGCAACAAAGACAAGAAAATGACAGTTAAAATAGTTGGTTCCAGCGACAATATTTCTTAGGCCGTCAACAAAAGTGCACTTTGCAGACTTCGGAGTTGTCATATCATTGAAATATCGAAAAAAGAACAGAGCAATTCAATGAAATTACAATCCCAATGTGTTATTTATCAAACGATTAATCTATTAATTTATCTAGTTATAGCCACAGCGTTAGAAGAAAACTCAAAAGGCTAATCGAATATAAGACCGGGGACAGACTGACTTTCGTCGCTGTGTTACATAGATCCCCGTTACAGAAGCACATGTAAACGTTTTTATAGTTCCATTTGGTGTAAGCGCATCGCTCTTCGTTGTCGTCGGGTCCGCGCTGGAGACACGACCGTTCTGTCGCTAAGCCATACTCTGAAAAATAGTCATCTGATTATTTATGTGCTTTTGACAAATACTCTGATACCTCGTCTCTCGTCTTTTCAACTATCGCTATTTAATTATACGCTCGGCATTACGTGTTTCAGAAGTAGCTTTTCTCCTTAGTTTATTACAAGTAACGGAAACACATTATCTGCCAACTGATAAAGCAAAGCATCGTAAAGCTTGTACAAATTTCAAAATATGTTTTACGATAACTTAACCAGCCTCGAAGCAGCTCAAAGAAATTCTTATATAAATGTGATGTAACAACGTATTTAGCATACAACAATATTATGTATTTAACACAGAGTACGTAGTAATAGAGTACAGAGCAATGTATTTAACATTAATTTAATATGGAGCTTTATTATGTAAGATTCTATATTTTTGGATATATTTTTTCTACCGAATTCAAAGATATAAATTCTTCAAATTTCTAAAAATTTGTTATACACTTTGTTTCTGCTTCAGGGAATTACACTTCTTCAATTTTACTTTCAGTTACACAGTTATGTTTATATAGATTTCAATTATTTTTTAATACTTGATTATGACTCATTCTATTATTTTTCATTAGAATACAACATTTCTTTTATTTCTATAAGTTTTTATGCACGAATTTTTAAATAAAATAATTAGGTACAAACTTAAATAAACACGTGACAGGCACATACACTAATTTACATTTAAATTTCATGCACATCTAGGCCAAATTATAGTATATATACACATACATTATATACATATATATATATATATATATATATATATATATTTATATATTTATATAATAATTGTTATATTTGAATTGTAGAACTCGCCATCCGGAACATTTGGATCTCCAGTTATATCCGGGGGTTTTGAAAAACCGTTACTGTCATATAAAAGAATTTTTTAGGTTAAAATTGATAAAACGAATACTTTACGTTACATATATATTTTTCCTCTATAATTATATTAATTACTAAATTAATACGTATATATAAATACTATTACTTATTATTACATTTAAATATAATTTATCCTTCAGTATCAATGGAATCGTTGACATTAATATTATCATATAATGTTATATTTGAAATTCATTATAATATTTATTAAGTACTGCTATATTTTTAGAGGTTCCAAAGAAATGATATCATTTTAGTAAAAGAACTTCAGCAAGCTCCAATTTCCATAAATACGTAGCTATACAAACATTCGAAAATTTATTAATTTCATGCATACTAATAGAAAGGAGAATTTTGTATGCACTTTTATTTTATATTTTAGTTTGAAAATCTTAATGTTGTTAAATTTACATTTTATCATATATTGTTAAAATAATTTATAAAAATTTGTGTGTGTGTGTGTTTGTGTGTGCGCGCGCGCGCGCGTGAACGCGTGTATATATGCATGTATACATGTATATTATACACTATTCAATAGTGAAATTCTAATATTATAATTTAATATTAATTATTAATTAATTAGTAAGATTTTTTTATATTTAAAATATTTATGAATTCATTTATTTACTTAAATATTATAGTCTCGTAAAATATCCAACCAATTATTACCAAGTATCCAAAAAATTAGTATCTAATGAAGTATTTTAATATATATGCCTAATTATCTGAATAGAATGTCTAAAAAGTATTATCAAAATTACAAAATCAATATAATTTCATCTGTTATTTATAAAAAATCTGCTATTTATAAGATAATTTTATTTTCATCATATTATAAATTGGGAATTTTGTTCTCTCCATAAAAATATAAAAATTATAGAATTTCCTACCTTATCAACTTTCATTTTTCGAGAATAAAATACACGTTAAAAATAATTTAATGCCTATATAAGAATTATATTAACAAAAACAAACACATACACGTGTATTAAAAAGTACAAAGTGTAAATATATACTTATACGTAAAAATTGATATGGCGTATTTGTGACATCGTCTTTATTGATTAAATAATTCATAATTTAATTAACGTTAAATTACGCATATAAAAATTGTATTTACCATTATTAAGATTTTGACTTTCAATAATTTTGACACACCAACCAGAGGCACAAGGTACAGCCTCGACAGCTTTATCTTCTTCGATTTGTGTCGAATTCATTGTAAATGGATCTTTGCATGATCCCAATTCTCCTCTTGATCTACAACTAACACATCTTTTTATGAGCCCTGAAAAATATGTTAATTAATAATTTTGAAATCAAATTTATTTTAGAAATATAATTTCATATACTATGGGATTTGAATACTTGTTTAATAGAATTTGATTTGGTTAATATTAGTAATTATATATATATATTTATATAAATTAGTTTTTACAAAATAATCATGTAAGAAAATAAATATTAGTTAATTATTGAAACTAAATTATTAAATATTGTTCATATAAAAATTTCGTATAAAAAAATAGATTGTTTTATATTTTACAATATAAATAAGTATAAAAAGATTATAGAAATCATCGATATTATTTTTATTTATCGGTGTGTTAAAATGGCATAAATTATAAATGAAGAAAAATAGAAACCATGTACTTCGACAACTGCACATTTGGATTATAGGGGAGTGAATTCAAGCTAATATAAGCAAAGCATTGTAACCAAAACAGTAATTGCAAATTAATATATGGAGATGCTACATAATCTTGGAGATTATATTGCTGAATATAAACTATTATTATATTTGTATATGATTAAAGTAATGTCCATTTACTGCTAATTACAATAATTAAAATGTACATAAATTAATTGCACTAAATTTTGTTCGATTATTTATCTCGATTTCATCCATCCTTTCGCAAAAAAAGATTGGGATAAATACTTTTACATGTTCATACGATATCAATATATATTTATATTTTTATACTATTAACGTAAAAAGGTACACCTTATTTACCAAAAAGCTGTATATACAAACGATTTAACGATAACACGTTAAAGAGAGAAAGAGATAGAGAGAGAGAGAGAGAGAGAGAGAGAGAGAGAGAGGCAAAATGAGAGCGAAAGCGATCCAGCACTTCTAGCGCTGAGAGTTCCAAACTCACGAACGGAATAAACTGTCAAACGTGTTTTCATCACGTCCCTATACGTCAAAATCACGTAGCAGAATATCGACGAGATAATGTAAAAGCAATCACGACGATCACTCGTCGCGAGCGAAAACGAAACGCGGATTCCCGAACGACTTACCTTGAACGTCGTGGGGCCACTCCAGGAGAAGCAGGAGGGCCGCGGCGAGGAGGGCGAGGGTCCCCCGGAGCCTCATCGGGACGTGCCTTGGATCTCGGCGGCGTGGCGCACAGCCATCTTGTGACGCGCCACGCGCGATCGTCGGTGCCGACGTGTGAGGGAATCCGGGGCTGCCTTTCACTTCAGCAGAGCCTCTCCCGTAGCATTGGAGGCCGCGGAGACGCACGTGTAGGCCTCTTTCGCAACCGGCCCCGCGGATGCCCACTTTCCCCACGGCTTTTCCCGCTACGAAACCCGAGATCACTCGAGTCACGTACACAGGCTCCTGCTGCCCACCCCGCACCGACCCACCAGGCCCGATGATGCAGCTATCCCCGTGACATTAATTGTTTTCCGACTAATAAGATGCGCTGTCCTGCGCGCGGATCCTTTAGGGATCATTTGTCCTTGTCGCGGTGACCGAGCCAGAGCGAGAGCGCAGTGCACAATTGTCACAAGCATTGAGATAAATTTACCGCAACTCTCCATAAGTAATTTTAAACGAGGATCGCAGTGTCTCCGACATTTACAATCTTCGTTATTTTAATGGAAAAGTCTCGTGATTGCGTTCCGAATGATAGGACTCGAGTAATGAAAGCAACGGTACCGTTACGTCAGTCTAGCCGCGCAACAACAGAGACGCCCAAACGAAATCTCCTGCGTTAGCATTTATTTAACTTGAGAGTTTGAGCTCGAAAATATGATCTGAAAATGCCATTTATAGTGGTGATGAAATTAATTATTTATGAAGTAATTAATAAGCCATGAGAATAGAAATAAGGATCAATTGATTCGTCGTTTACTTAATAAATGAACAATTCGACCATAATGTTGCAATCGCCACGGGGCAATATTATTCGGCAAATGTAAGGCGAGAATGAATTGTACATTTATTGAAAGCAAGCGTGTTGCGGTGAGGCTGCGATTGCTCGCCAACACTTGCTAGCACCATATAAAGGTGCGAACAAAATGAGTGAAAGCTGCTGAGCATAGCGGCGGAGTGCCTCGAAAAAATCTGCAAATAAATAAATAATGGATAAGAGAGGCTTAATCCGGCCTTCGTTGGGACATTCTAAGTTCGGGAGGAATTGGCGCCTCAGCTCCGGTCATTGACATTTTTCACGCCACGGGGCGCCCCGAGTTCTAATACGCATGCGCCCCGTGGAGTCCGATAGCCAACTTGATTAAAACCACCACTAGGTGGCTCGTCGTTCGTCCTAGGCTCTCGCAAGCGTCGAAATTCACCCTCAATTCGTATATATGCCGTATGAAATAATATAACAGATGTACTTGCTTCGGCAGTACATATACTAAAATTGGAACGATACAGAGAAGATTAGCATGGCCCCTGCGCAAGGATGACACGCAAAATCGTGAAGCGTTCCACATTTTTTTGCAATTTCCAACTCTGCCAGGTTATTATTATGTCGATGAGTATAGTTTTCCTACATAGGGGATATGTGCCATTGAGTTAAATTAGGGACAAGTGAGAAAGAGAGAGAGAGAGAGAGAGAGAGAGAGAGAGAGAGAGAGACAGTTCCAATATACAATTACTATGATTATGGAAAATTGTCAATTATTTTATTTTTTGCCTCTGTCGCGACGTGTACATGCACATGCCTATGCATCGTTTATATCGTAATGCTACTTATCTCGCGCAGTGTTTTTACATTTTTTTTACTATTTGAAAAATTCAATAGCCTGCCAATCGTATTTCTCTAGCGTATTTTTAAAACTCTAGCTCGAGCACGTGTCTATGGCCGGTATTAGCGACAATATACGACGAATAATTTTTACTTTTAGCTTTATCAAACATAACATCTGCAGATTATTTACATAGTAAATAAATTACATTGCGATATCATATCGAAGCTCGGGATTCTTTTAATTCGGAGACGAATGGTCCTTGCCCTCCTCGTGTAAATGAAGCAAATCTCATTGCCGAAAGAAATCCGTGACGACTGTGTCTATAATTGCATAAATTATAATATGTTTTACACAGCCGGAACATTGCCTCCAATTAATATATTACGAATTGTTTAATGTCTCATTTAGCGTGCTCCTTTACGCATATTGAAATGGCATTTTCTCTAAATGCTCGAGTATTTATAACGAGAATTAGCGTGACAATGTATAGGAAAGGAAATCTTGTGCTATTCTACTATTTGGGCTTTTACGATAATGAAGAGACTAGGATCGATGATATAATGTATAAGAGGTAAAATAATGAAAAATTCATGTGCCACGTATTGCATTAAAATTACTCTTAATTAATTAATATTCCTTATATAATTGATAAATGAAAAGTGCATTAAGGATAATTTGTATTAAACGGCTTAGAGAGTTGTCGTCGCTACGTTTCACGACGGCTCATATAATTTAAGCATTAAATATTATTTTTCCATTTTTTGCAAGCAGATGAATGTGTTGCCTTTAAAGTAATAGAGCTTACTTTAATGTTTGTTGAAACAAGAGATTGATACACTTGCAATATATTTGACAACGGAGCAGTTTATAATGCATAAATAAAATGCGCTTCAATAAGCACACAAATAATTATACGTTTTTTACGAGCAGGGAAATCTTATATATTTTGTGAATATCAAAATGAAATATGGATATTTTGTTTGGTAACGAATTAATTGGCATACGAAGCTTACGTAAGGAAATTATGTTATCCTTTAATTTTCTATTATTAACAGCTAACATTATTCGACAATAAAATATAAGTTTTGGTTCGAGCGTATCGATAAAGAAACTGTTTCGGCAAATCGAGGAATTTTGAAGGAGCTAATCAAGATATTATGGGCATTATGCTAATTATATAAAATTCCTTGAATTACGTAGAATTTGGAGTAAGGAGAAAAATTCAATTTTCAATTTTCAACTAACGATTCAACCTAAGGAGAATCCGGTCAAATTACTTAGAATTGGTAACCGAGTGGGCTGAAATTATTACCGCACAATGGCAATTTATATGGCTATTACCCATATAAATTGCCTATAAGCTATTGTAACGATATATTATAATTCGTATAATATTACATATTTATATATTCGTATAAATGCCGAGCTCCATGAATTAATACAACGAAATATCGTTTATATGAAATACACTCGTATCGAATGCTGCTATATTTTGCCAATCGTTTACCACCGGAAAGTTGAACAATGTGAATAAGTTGAGTCGTTAAGCTGCGCTAAACTGCGCTGTTCATAGTATTTATTAAAATCAGTCAGCAATAAAAATTGAATAATTAATTCACTTTGTCAAAAGGTATTTTTATTCGGAACAAGCGTATTATTATTCTGATTTCCTATCTGTCTTTGTGCGTCCTTTTTACATTGCACCGCGCGATTTTAGCTTCAATGATTTTGAACAACGACTTTGAGCTCGAACTGAAACTTTTCGCTTTCCGCTGAGACCAACGAAATGCACATTTCTATGATTCAGGCCCAGACAAATAGTTCCCACTGTAATTCTCGTCGGTGCGCTTCTCATCGTAACGGTTGAGTTAAATGGCCGGAACTATCGACGAGGAAGATACGTACGAATCACCGACGAATATCGACGTGGTTATCCTTAATAAAGTCCATCGTCATCACGTTCCAAGGTCTACCTACTGAAACGCTATCACTTAATTGCTACTTCGCTAATACCATATTTTATTCCCCGTTCGACATCTATACCAAAAATAATAATTTTATTTATTTTTTATATTGATGATGAAAATCGCAGGATACACGAAAGATCTAAGGCTTATTTTGCGCGTTATATATATATATATATATATATATATATATATATATATATATATTAATTTGTATTTTCATTATACTGAATTGTGCGATAATAATTTATCATAACGATCCAGCTCTTTTTGCATTAATGTTAGTTTTAACGTAATAAATAGCATTTCAATGTTGGAGTACGAAGATCGAGCCGATAGAGAAAACGACGCCCAAGATTGTGTTTAGCTCGATGTTGGGGGAATTTTTTATTCGTTTACCCAGTTGTCGTCAATGCAAACGAGATGAATCATCAGAGCGATCTATATCAACAACACACTATATCAAGCAACAACTTAAACGTCAATTCGCCATATCGGAGTAGCTTACGTTAATTTTGAATGCACTGGTGGTCGGAGAAGAGTAAATACCCTCATGGGAGTGTGGATTCCATTCTATTCAAGTCAACGCGTGAAAAAGAGCTATACCAAGTACATTGTCCCAATCACATGAAAAGGATCTGTCATTTAAAATGATGATTTAACAAGGAGAAAATAAATGTAATCGGAATCCTCGGAAACTTAGGCTAAACGGATAAAAGGACAGGACGAGCGGGGCTATTAGCGAAAATTACACTCAATCAGGAAGGAGCCTTGTATTAAGTGTGATAAAAATCTTTCACGAAATATTCGTCAATTACGTTCGAAGCAGTCAGTTAATCTTTCTCGTTCTCTATAATAATACTTTAGCGAGGCTTGCCGAATCAACTTCGGCGCCATCTATTTTTCTTACTAAATCGCTGTAAGTAATGCAGCCTTGATTTGCGCAGGCACGATATGTGACAAATAATGCCTTCGTCCAACGCCGACCACTAAAATACGTGAAGAATGTGTGCCACAAACGACGCTCCCGTATCGCAATTATTATTAATCGGTAATTACGTCGTGGTAAATGCAACGACGCGATGCTACGACGGAGATTGTGGAGCGACGGCTTAAGCCAATGGCGCGCATTATTTAGCTCATTATTCGCGAGTACGAATAAAGAGACGACGTTCAAAGTTCAAGTTCACTCTTTGGTATCTTGGCGTCGGTGACGGAGGATGGGGTGGGGAGG